TTTTTTTTTTTTTCCCTGCTCATGTGACTGCGAAGGAAATTGAACTGCGTGTCCTTCGGGACATCCGTTAAAATTGGAACGATACAGAGAATGAAGATTAGCATGGCCCCTGTGCAAGGGATGACACGCATAAGAGTTCTTCGTGCGCGATTATGTTCATATCTAATTTGCCTGCGGGTGAAAAATTTGCCGACGTTCTCTGAGAGAAATCCGTTAATGTTGGAATTGGAAACTACGACGGAGAAGATAGCCATGAAAGCTGTGCAAGGATGAACACTAACACTTATTCAGGAAAAAGGGAGAAAAAGAAGAGAAAAGAAAAAGAGAGAGAAATGTCTAGCTCAGTTGGTACACCCATGAACTGTTGAAATACAGACTTGAGTTCGAATCCAGCAACAATATAAATGAACACGTCCTGGATGTAAACGCTGTATTGAGCTTTCCGTGTTCAAGAGCATGTGTTGGCCATTGCTTCCTTCTTCTTTCTTCCAACAATATGAATGAATTAAACCACCAGTGTACTTCCTAAAGTCGTGCCCGTTAACAAGCCGCGATTTTAGGAAACGTACGGGCCACTGCAGGAGCGCCCATGTTCATCCGGCTAGAAACGTTTCTATTCTATTTTTTTTCCACGGCCGGGCCAAGTATTGGTGGCTTAATCTCAATTACCTGGGGCTGGTCAGTTGAAGGATGATATCTCAAGGCCGTCGCGCTTGCCAAAAAGGAAAGAAGAGTCCTTCGGGACATCCGTTAAAATTGGAACGATACACGCAAAGAGAAGATTACCATGGCCCCTGCGCAAGGATGACACGCATAAATCGAGAAATGGTCCAAATTTTTTAGGAAAAAAAAAGAAAAGAAAAGGAGAAAGAGTCGCGAAAGTAAAGAGAGAGAAAAAGTCTACCTCAGTTGGTACACCCATGAACTGTTGAAATACTTGACAGTTCATGGGTGTACCAACTGAGGTAGACTTTTTCTCTCTCTTTACTTTCGCGACTCTTTCTCCTTTCCTTTTTTTTTTTTTTTTTTTTCCTTAAAACTTTGGACCATTTCAGACTTGATGATAATGGACTTCCTTGCTTTTTCCCCAAAAAAAAAGAAGAAAAAAGAAATACAGACTTGAGTTCGAATCCAGCAACATCACGGCTGAATTAATCTCAATCGCCCGAGGCCGGTCAGTTGAAGGATGATATCTCAAGGCCGTCGCCCTTGCAAAAACGGAAAAAGAAGAAAGGGTCAAGAACTTGGTCTTCTTTTTCTTATATTAAAAATATGAAACAATGAAATGATAATGCGAGCTACACCAACCTGTTTTTAGCTAAAACCGGAAATGTGCTATAGCATCTCTAGCATGTGCAGCATGCGAGAAATTTCAGTTCACACATCTATAAAAGGCGGCCGAAAAAAAATAATAAAAATAAAAAAATTGCGGGCACAAATCGAGAAACGGTAGGAAATGGGGAAACAAAACAAATTGAGGGTAATTGCACTTGCCGGTTGAGCTCCGGGGCAGTCTGCGAAAGTCCCTGCGAAAGTCCCTACGGTAAGCATCCTGAGAATCGAGGCAGGTGTTAACCCCCAGCTTAGCTTGCCATTTCTAACAGTTCTTGTCTGTTTTGCCCAACGGTGAAAAAAATTCGTGACAGATGTATGTCTATACATTTACATTTATGCATATGTATGTATGTATGTATGTATGTATGTATGTCTACGTGCATGATTTTATGTGTGTATGTATGTCTACATGCATGATTTTATGTATGTATGTATGTATGTATGTATGTATGTTCTACAAACACATGATGTGGTGTGAACCTGCAGTCTGTAGAGTTTTCTGTGTAGTCTGGGTGAGTGAGGGCATACTCACCCGAGGACCAAAAGACCCTAAATCCCAAAATTTGAGTCTTTTTTCGGGTCACACTGGAGAGGCTCGCTACTCAAATGCCTCAAATGGTGACCCTTCTGTCAGCGGCCTGCAGGGCCGCGGGCAGACCCTTTTCGAGACCACCTCCGCAGGTGGTCTCAAATTACCTTTCGTTTTTTTGCTTCTATGTTCGTGAATTGAAGAGAATCGTAGACGAAGAAGACAGGCCGCCAAACAACTGAAAGTGCGACCAGGGACATTTAGCCCGCCAAACAACTGAAAGTGCCACCAGGGACATTTATGTTTCAGCGAAGGCCCACGCGTTATACTGGCGTGAAAAAAAAAACAAAAAAAAATTCCATCTTGTTGTTTGGTCCTCCCAGGTGTGACCGGGCGCACTTGCCCGGAGTGCAAAGTGTCAGGGTCGCGACCCGCCAAACAACTGGAAGTGCGACCAGGGACATTTATGTTGTAGCGAAACCCCCCGCGTTATACTGGCGCGAAAAAAAAACAAAAAAAAATTCCATCTTGTTGTTTGGTCCTCCCCCGTGTGACCGGGCGCACTTGCCCTGAGTGCAAAGTGTCAGGGTCGCGACTTCGTCCTTTCTGGATGAGGTCCGCCCGTGTGACCAGGCGGGGACCAAATGCCTCAAAAAAACCCAAATCAAATGCCTCAAATTTTTGAGACTTTTGGTCCCCGTGTGAGTATGCCCTGATAGTGTGCTTTGATGTTCGTCATCGGTACCTTGGGGGCAGTGGTTGGTGCCCGCCTCAGGGTAACTGGGTTTAAGCTGAGTTATCACTTTCAGTACAGTTGGCTAGGGGACTCTGCAGACTATGGAGGGTTCAGCCTCCTGATGAGTGAGAGATGCTAAATGGCAACCGGGGTTAAGGTGGATTATGACTGCACATTATCATTGGTTAAGGGACTCTGGAGGCTGTCAAGGGTTCAGCCTCCTGATGCCCATTGTTTGTTGACCTCTTCTCCCTCGCGGCCGACCGTTTACTGGGCAGTTCTGTTTGACGATATGTATATAGAATATGCATAAATAATGTAATCATATGTATATCTCTTTGTGAATTTGTTTCCAAAGTGTTGAAAGTGCGCTTGTACGTGAAAATGTGCTTTCCATGGGTTGAAAAACCTCATCCATTTTTTACATAATTTTGTATAACTTGTTAAAAAAAACTCCAATCCATTGTATTCATAGTTTCATATAACTTTGACATTTTTCTTTCGCCATTTTTTGAACTATTTGATTGTTTTGTGGATTCGTATTTTACAAATAATATTTACTAATATGTGACCATTTGATGATTTCAATGAATTATATAACCAATTCATTGAATTGAATTGATTGAATTCAATAAATGTGCAATGGATAGTTGTGCTCTATGTAAGGGACACTGGACCCGTATCCCAGCAGGTGACGCTCCCCACCAATAGATGGAGCCCCCCTCCCCAGGTGCTAGTGGTGTCTGCTCTTATCGGCATCACTAACACTGGTGGGGGAAGTGCAATGGATAATCCGCAGGAAACCGGCATATGTCTGTGCAGGATCCTCAGAGACTATACGTGAAGAGTCTGAATAGAAAATGGACTCAATTCACATTCTGTACTATGATATCAATCAAGACTGATCGTTTTCAGTTCCAATGGCTAGCAGGACTTATTCTGTGATGCAGAATCCAAAGAGTGGAGATAAAGATCAGCAACCTTTCTAATCAATATGGCTGGATTCTCCTGGCCAAGTTGTGTCTATGTCATAGGTATAGTGGTGTATCAGGTGGCAGGCATAGAGCCGGCCAACAGCAGTTAGTTGCCTAGCTTAAAAGATAGTGCCATTGACTGTGGTTGGTGGTGGGTTCAAGGTGGACTATCAATTCATCACGTAACGGTATCCATGCAACAGTATCACTGGTTAGGGGGCTCTGCAGACTGTAGAGGGTTCAGCCTCCTGAAGAGTTGACGGAGCTCGGACAAAACAGTCTGCCGTAGCCCCTCGTTTGTTGTCCTTTTCTGCCTTTCTGCCCACGGTTCACCGGGCAGTTCTCTGTGACTGTCCCCTAACAAAGGATGCTTACTTTAAACCAGCACTCCAACAGGCCCTGCACTGTTGAGCCGGTGAAACTCGGATGAAACAGTCTGTCGTAGCCCCTCGTTTCTTGATCCTTTTCTCCCTTTCTGCCCACGGTTGACTGGGCAGTTCTTTGTGACTGTCCCCTGACAAAGGATGCTTACTTTAAACCACCACTCCAACAGGCCCTGCACTGTTGAGCTGGTGAAACTTGGATGAAAGAGTCTGTCGTAGCCCCTCGTTTCTTGTCCTTTTCTCCCTTGCTGCCCACTGTTCACCGGACAGTTCTCTGTGACTGTCCCCTAACAGAGGATGCTTACTTCAAACCACCAGTCCAACGGCCCCTGCACTGTTCATCTTTCTTGTCTACAATTACCCGCGGCCCAAATCAACAGTGCCTAGGCCCGGTAGAGGCTCAGTGGGGAAGGGTAGGGTACCACAATTATGTCTCCTCACAGCGGCACTGTTTTTTTTTTTTTTTTTTTTTTTTTTTTTTTTTTTTTTTTTTTCCCGCAACGTCAACCCTCTTTTCAATTCTGCGAGGGCTCCGGTCCGGTTGCTTATCCCTGGCAAGCATGAAAAAGAACATTATAATCAAAGGAGAGTCGGCCCACAGGGAGAAACGGAACCGTTGATGGGCAGCGGGGAGACTGAAGTACCCACTTCTACCTGGCCAACCCTAGATCGTTGTAAGCTTAGCTCCCTCCTTTGATGCTAAGTCCAAAATTCATACCAAATAGAGCACAGGAAAAGGCAGAAAAGAGATGAGGAGTAAAACATATTTCAAATAAAAGGCTGAAAAAGGGCCCCGGGGGAAGACCTTGTATATTGACTAAGAAAAATCGAGAAAAAAAACTATGACCAATCTAAAATCTATTTCATTCTAAGCTAGGAAGTAAACTACAATAACTATCAAATGTATCAGAAGGGGTGGAGTGGATAGAGCCAGCTTGCCTCTCCGAAGAGGCAATGAGGGCGAGACCAAAAATGTACCGATTCTCTTTGAAAGCAAAGGTGACAAAATTGGGGAAAGGGGCCCATGCTTGGGCCAAAAAAGATGGAGGTGTGATTGGAATATTATTCTTATGTGACTTATGCCGATGCAAGAAATCAGCCTGCAGGCTATTTCTGATATACAATGTGACAGCTTCTGCATGGAGAGGAAGCAAGACGTCTTGTTCTGTCGGACGCACATGTTCCTGATGACCCAAAAAGCTGCAATGATTGCTGCCCGAATCATCTCTGAAGCATAAAGTTGGGGATCAGACCCTGTCTGCAAGTTGATACTCGATAGAACATCCGCAACTTTTTTTCTTTGAGACCACTTTATCTTTGATTCTTTCTTCTTCTCCTTTTTGTCGAAAGAGCTGAAGTGTGGAGTCTCAGAGCTTTGCTATGTACTCGTTGGAAGAGGGGAGGAGAGGAAGGGTTTAGTGAAAATCTTATGGAGCCAGGGCGTAGAAGGCCTTTTGGTCTTTTGATCAGCATATCTGCACATGTTTGCCTTCACGTTTCCCCTTGCCTGATAGCAATGGGGATACGTGCCTTTGTTGAACGGGCAGCATGCACAGACTATACACATGCAGATACACCTGTGCATGTGCTCCTGTACACAATTTGTGTGTGTGTGGGCCAGGGAGGGAAGGGGGTTGGGGGGTTTGATTTGGAGAAAAGGAGTCTGGTAATCCTTGCGTTCCTCTAGATTGAGAAACGGCTAATGTGCAGCGGTGCCTCATCTGTTGGTGTTTTTCTCTCTTCGTCTCTTACAGATGCCCCAGCTTTGTCGGACGATCGCAGAAGGAGCGCCATTTGACAATCCATGCCTTCCTTTCTGGCGCTGGATGGTCATGGAACGCGCACCAGGTGCTGTTCTGCTTCGTGAGTTCTGGAACCACGAAACGCACTTGGTTCAAGTGTGGAAGGGCCTGCTGGACAAGGTTAGAAATGTTTACCAAGGCACTGAGTGAGTGAGTGAGAAAAAAGGCCACAGGCTTAATTGTTGTTAAACTAACTGAGTTCAAATCTTGATGCAATGAAATGAACAAGATAACTCTGGATTAACTGGGGCCGGTCAAGTAGGCGATGACAAGTCGAGGCCGCCACCCTTTGTTTTCTGTTTCAATGCGCTAGCTTGGAAAGGTGGTTGTTCTACTGCTTGTATCTTCAGTGTGCTGTCCGTCTGCTGTTTACCATGTATGTCACAATTCACGCTCGTAGCCATTTGGCAGGCTGGCAATTTCTGAACGATGGTCTATACACATTGGCTACCTGGTTTCTTTCCACATGTCCTAGTATCCTCTGGCTTATGGTCTCTTCCACTTGTTTGCTATTCTGTCAGGTGCATTGTAGAATCCTTGTTCTGACCAGATACTTGCAATCCATGACCCCTGGATCTTATAATCAGGGGAACACAAGGGGCGTCTGTGGGCAAGACCTGAAGGACTGAGCGCTGGTGCCTGAGGAATGTGCTTTCCACTCACAAAGTGGATGTTTACACATGGCACATGCACCAGTTGTGGTGCAGTAGGCGAGAAAGTTGTGTGTGTGTGTGTGTGTGTGTGTGTGTGTGTGTGTGAGTGTGTGTGTGTGTGTGTGTGCGTGCGTGTGTAAAAAAAGAACACACGAAAAACATAATTTTCATATCATTCCAAACAGGCAAAACCAATGACGGGGGCTGCCGGGCACCTCTCATTAAGGGTGGCGCATTTCCCTAAAGCGCTTTTCGCTGGGACTTCTGCAAGATCTTTAGAGGGATTTTTTTTTTAAGCAATCAAGATTTTCCGACCAAGCAAAAGGAAATAAAGAAATATTATAAAAAAATAATACCAAACAGGCAAACCAATGATGGGGGCTACCGGCCACCCATCATTAAGGGTGGCATATCTCCCTGAAGTGTTTTTCGCGCTTACTCCTGCAAGCTCATCAGAGGGAAATAAAATTTCAAGCAGTCAAATTTTCAAACAATGAAAAAAGAAAAAAAAAACTAGGTTGTTTTCTGGGCGCCCGGGCACCCAACTTGTGGCCTGATACATGCCCGGGTGCCCGGCCGGGCATGACCCCTGGGCAGCCCCAGCGCAAAAAAGAAAAAAGAAAAAAGAAAAAAAAAGTAAAAAAATTCCAGAAAAAAATATGTTGTGTAGAATTGCAACACAAACAACTTTTGGCTGAGGGTCACATCAGAATTCCTCACCGAATCGGAGATAAAAAAGAAAATAACAAAATCACTCCGCACTTTAACCCCCCTTAGCCCCTTTAAAATAAATTTATACCCCCCTTCCCCCCCTTGACAGCCAACTCTAAAAAAATGAAAAGAGCCCCGATTTGGGGTCCTCTGGGAGAGCGCAGAAAGCTAGTCTACCAGAGTGGCCCGGATCCACTTGCCCAGCCGGGCCAAAAAGATATAAAAAAATAAAAAATAAAAAATTATTAATTTAAAATTTTATTTTAAATTTGGTAAAGAATTTCGATGTGACCCTGAGGCAAAAGTTGTTCAGTTTATTTTTCTGCATAACATAGTTTGTTTTCGGATTTTTCGTTTTTTTATTTTTATTTTTGGCTGGGACCTTCCCTGGTCCTTGCACGGCCGGGCCACCCGGGAAAGTTGGGTGACACGGGCGGCCCGGCTAGTACCTAAGCAGAAAGGATTTTTTTTTTTTTTTTTTTTTTTGGGTTGCAAGCCTGGGTACCCTAGGCGTGAGACCCTCCAGGCATCACGCGCGGGTGCCCGGCCGGGCATGAAAATCTTCCTAGATAAAAATTACTAGGCTACCAGCCGGGCTGCCCGGGTCACTCGTCCAAGGACCAGGGAAGGTCCTAGCAAAAAATAATAATAATAATAAAATGATGTTATGCAGGAAAATAAACTGAACAACTTTTACCTCAGGGTCACATAGAAATTCTTTACCAAATTTAAAATGAAAAAATATTATTATTTTCAGGGTAACCTGCGTTCGGGACGGGCCGAACGCCCGAACCTGAACACCCGAATGTATGGGACCCCTTGGGGATGCGTTCGGCCGTTCGGGCCGAACGCGAACCCAAAAAAAAAAACAAAAAAACCTAGAGTCATCAAAAAAATCTGAAAAAAAAAGATATGTTATGGAGAAAAATAAATTAAACAGGATTTGCCTGAGCATTACATCCGAATTCCTTACCAAATTTGAAATAAAAATAAAATTCGGAAAACAAATACTAATAATAAAAATAAATAAAAAGAAAAAGAAAATTAAATTTAGTGAGTGCGCGAGCATGTTTTCGACACCGCCATCTTTGGCGATTTTTCATTTTTTTTTGGCATAGCTAAATGCCCTGAAAATTTACAGATGTGTACTTCACATAACACAAAACCCACTAAAAAAGTTTCAAAAAATAATAAAATTGTTTAGACCCCGAACTAAAGTGAAAACAAGAAGTAAAAATTGAAAACATACGTGGGCGAGCACGTTTTGACACCGCCAGCTTTGGCGATTTTTAATTCTTATTTGGCTTAGCCAAATGACTTGAAAATTTACAGGCATGTACCTCACGTCATAGAGAACTCACAAAAAAAACTTCAGGAAAAACTAATTATTTTTAGGCCCCGAAATAATTTTTGGCGGGGGCCGAACGCCATCGGGTTCGGACCCCGTACGGGACCCCGAACGCCCGTACGTAATAATAATAATATATAACTACATCCACGTGGGCGGCCTTGTACGCAAGAGGTTCTGAACGGGGGGAGTTGGAAGTAAGAAGATAAAAAATGAATTGATATCCTTTTTGTTTCCTTTTGTTTTTTTTGCTTTTGCGCTCTGATAACTTTGTGACAATATATATTATATATGATGAGTCGGTGAAACTCCGACGAAACAGTTTGTCACAGCCCCTCGTTTGTTGTCCTCTTCTCTCTCTCTGCCTACGGTTTTACCGGGCAGTTCTGTTTGTGACGATATATATATATCAGTTGTCGGGCAGTCGTTGATGCTTAACGACAGCTGGGGTTAAGGTGGATTATCACTTACAGTGTAATCAGTTAGGGGATTCTGCAGACTGTTGAGGGTTCAGCCTCCTGATGAGTCGGTGAAACTCTGACGAAACAGTTTGCCACAGCCCCTTGTTTGTTGTCCTCTTCTCCCTCTCTGCCTACGGTTTACCGGGCACCTCTTCGGTGAAACTCCGACGAAACAGTTTGTCACAGCCCCTCGTTTGTTGTCCTCTTCTCCCTCTCTGCCTACGGTTTACCGGGCAGTTCTATTTGACGATATATATCGTCAAATATATATATATTTAAACAGAACCTTTTGGTTCTGACTCCTTTCCATTCTGGGGAGTGTCAGGCCGGTTCCTACTCCACTGGCAAGTCAAATTTTACATAGTGGAACTCACCCATGCCCCTGCCCATAATGGTCGGGAGGTCCGAGTAGACGGCATTGATTCTTCCCTTGGGAAGGATGTACCGCCTCTCACCCCTGCCTAGATTAGCCTAGCCAACTACGGTGCCGTTTGCTCCTCTCAGCTTGAAAACTGTCTGGTACTACATTGTGAAACTAGAGCTGAGCACTGTGTGCGTCCCTTGGTGATCGCCCTTATTGAGGTGAGCCTGTGCAACCAGGCATTGCCCTTTGTACTGAAATCGTATTGGCCTGCAGTCTGTGCGCTCCCGGTGCTCTGAACCCGGGCTCTTTTTTTTTTTTCCCCCTCAAATAAAAGGGGACGGTCTTGAGAGATCATCTTTGAGCTGACCGGCCCCAGGCAATTCAGAAATATTTGGTTTTACTCATTAATTAAGTTCCATCATCTGGGTTCGAACTCAGGTCTGTATTTCAACAGTTCATTGGTGTACCCACTGAGCTAGGCTCTTGGGTGGAGCTCTATTTATACTATCTTGGAATCAGCAGACGTGCATGTGTGTCTGTCCTGTGGTTAAGGCAGTCATCCTGTGTAAAATAATTTCACTTTTTTATTTTTTATTTGTTCTTGGCCTGGCCGGGCAAATGGTCCTGGGGTGAAGTCCCACCGCAGAAGTCGAGTTTTCTCAATGCTGAGCTTTCTATCACAGGTGGCATGGTGGGACGGAGCTCTGCCGTTGATGTATTGAGAATCTAAGGGTACCAAAATACAGGAGAATAACCTATTAGATTTGGTCGTTTTGTACATTTTTTCGTTGATGTGAAATCCGTTTTGTTGTATGCTTCGGCCCGTTCCGTTTGGGCAGGAAACCATTTTCCATTGAGAAAACTACCCGACAGAGGGTAAGGTACATTTCTCAACTTATTTGCCTTTCATTTTTTATTTTTTTAAAGACATCATTACACCCTGAAACGAAGGAGCTCTGACAGCTCTGTTTGGCTCTCTCGCATCAAACTCTCTTCCTTCTTTGGGCAATGAACGCATCTGGCCATCCATGTTGTCCCTGCCCATTTTACGAATGGTGACCTCCTGTCCCCTCACCACGGGAGGTATCACTTTTCCATGGAGACATCCACTCCGACTGTGCCAGAAGTGTTTCATTTCTCCCAGTTACTTAATAAAAAATAAGGAGAAAAGCTGTTTTTCTAGCGTTTTTTTTCAGTTTTTTTATTTCTTGTTTCGAATTTATTAATGTCAAAATGGTGTCACACGGTTACGTTTTCTAAACTTAAACTTGGGCGGTGGGACTTCACCCACGGGCTACTCTGGTAGCCTAGAAAAAATAAAAAATAAAAATAAAAACAAAACAAAAATCAAGCATTTGACTGCCGTTCACACACAAGCGAGCCAGTAATTAATTATATGTAGGTTTAGAGGGGAGGGAGACAAGGAACAAACATCCGACATGAGGAGAAGCCCTTGCTGGCAGCGTCAGCTGACTACAGATCCACAAGAACTGTATGCCAGAGCGTGAAAACCACAGGTATGGAGAACGAGATCGTCGATGGTAGGAGAAGATCACCTGAATCAGCCTACCCGCGCCGAGAGCAGTCAGAAGCAATCATGCCAATGAGAACAGTAGAGCACCCAACTCAGCATACCCTTGGCGAGAGCAGTCAGAAGCAATAATTCCAATCAGAAGGGAATAATGCCAATATTCACACACAGACAAACAGATAATGCCAATGTTCACGCACATACTTACAGACATACCTTATCTCCACCACCACCTCCCAGACGGCGGTGTCGTCTGTTCCTGAACAGTACGATCACCGCACCCTTGGCGGAGGTCAGAGATCTGCTCCACCGCCGTGCTTGCAACCGTATGGATGATGTCGTTGCTTCCAACACACGTGAGCTAGGAACTGTGCATACTGAGTCTGCTATTCGCAATGGGGGGATGATTTTTACAGTGCTGCAGGATTTCGTGAGCGCCAGAAACGAAGTGCAGCGAGCTGTGCAGCATTCACAGCTTCGTGCAACTGACCCCCACTTCTAATTCACTTTCCCCTGACTGTTTTTACCCCAAATGACAGTGACCCACCCTCTGATCCTTCGATGGAACCACCAACCGTCACTCACAGGAGTCTGCTCTGGCGGTGAATACCGAGAACGCTATGAAGTTTGTCTATCCTCTGTCCCTTCTTTATCTCCCCATCTCCCTCCTCTTCCTCTCCCTTCTTCCTCCCTCTTCTCATGCCGAACTTCTCCCTCCCACTGTGTTGATGTTGTTGGTTTGCTTATGTGACTGACCCTCTCGTTTTTGCAGGTGCCCAGGTTCAATGCATAGGAATGAGCACCATTAGGAGAACAGGCAACATCTAAGTGAAAGTGTGCTGAATACTGAACAGCAATATCCCTCCCCCTTTACTCTGCCTACCTTTCATTTTGTGCAAGTGCGTTAAGGCACTTGGGGATGTGGGCAGCTGGTGCTCAACCACAATCAATGTGGCAAGCCTTGTGCATGAGAGGCACAGGAAAAAGGGACCAGCACGAAGATATATATAAACAAGCAAGGATAACAAAGAAAGATCTGCATAAGTACAAGGCAATATAATGGCGAAGACAAAATTGCATGAGTGACGTGGCAATATCAGTTTTTGTGTGCTTCATGATGTTTGCTGTAGAAGGTTCTAAGGTCAAATCCTTTGGTTCAATTCTGGATGTACCCATCTCGGTGGAGGAGTTATTATGGCGACAGTGGGCATGTAGAAGAAAGAAAACTCGACTTTGGATCTACTCATCTGGGTGGAAAAGGGTTGTTATATCGACAATTTACACACACAGACGCACACATGATAGTCTAGAACACACACACACACACACACACACGCACGCACGCACGCACACACACAGAGAGAGAGAGAGAGAGAGAGAGAGAGAGAGAGAGAGAGAGAGAGAGAGAGAGAGAGAGGCGTTTCAACCCCTGCAACAGTGGATTCCTAGAGAAAGGGATGGGCTTCATCTGGTCGAGCACTGGATGCTAGTATATTATTTTTCCAGGCCTCAGTCTTTGCCCATTTAATTCAACATGGGCCCTACAGACCCGTTCTTTGCCACACATTTTGGGGGCTCTGTTCTTTCGATGCCAATTCTGTGCTTGAAGTCTACTTATGTAAATATCCTTACGTAACCTCTTAAGTCTGGAGACCCTTGTGCTCAGGGCTGTGCATTCGTTCTTGGGATTCAGATCACAAATCCTAATGAAGTGCACCACCTCCAGTCCTTTCTTGATGTTCTGTCATGTCGCTAAGGTCGTCTCAGCTGTGCAGAATCCAATCCAATGAGTGGGTAAAAAATCTCTTCCCTTCTTTGCATGGGCTCTTGCTGCAGCTGTAAAGGAGGGGTGGTTCTAGTATGTTGGCCTGCAGGTTTAGAGTAGGAGAGCCTTGTATAGTTTTTGGTTGTAGCTTTTGCTGCTGAGTTTCTTCCCAATGACCTCACTGATACCAAGTGGGTTGTGGATGGCTGGGTGCATGCCCATCCGTACTCATGTTTGTGTATTTGTATTTCTGTTTGCTGGTTTGCCAGCATTGGTCTGTGTTGTGTTGGTTTGGCGTGGTGTGGCTTGCTCTCTCTTCCCTTTGCGTACGTGTGTGCCTTGTGTGCATGTGTGTGTTGAGTACAGATGAATCAGGAGTTACTCGGCTTGGCACAAAAGCCTTGGCGAGACCTTCTTCAAAGGTAATGAACAAGGCATCGTGGCCATCCTGCCCCTTGCACATTACCACTCACGAGACCTTGCCACATGTTGTAGACAGTGAGGGCACGTCATTGGGTAGAAGTCAGCAAGTGAGGGCCAGTGCCCACTGGGCTTTGTCTAGTCCTTTGTTAGGAAATCTGACGGCGTCCTTTGGGACATCCATTAAAATTGGAACGATACAGAGAAGATTAGCATGAAAAAAAAAAGGAAATCTGACGGTCACTGTCATATCATCAAACAGCTTCAGATAACCTACGCATAGACCTGGCTCAGTGGGGCGTGCCCCTGTTGCATACCGTATAGGTGCAGACCAGAACAAGAACCGACCCTTCAATACAAAGTATAAGATAGCACAGCGGAAGACTTAGATACCAATGATCCGAACAATCAATATTGCAATGCAGCCCCGAACATACATCATCATCATCATGGTGTGAAGGGGTCTGGCGCTTCACACAAGAAGACTGCGCCAGCCCCAACCATACACAGACGAAGGAGGTGGGGTTAGACAAAGAAGAAGGGAAGATGGGAATGTCGTCAACACCAAGTGTTCAGCACAGGCCCAAATAGTCCCTCCTCAACATGTCTGAATCCCAATGTCGAGTCTGGATCCAATGTCGTCAAGCCTCATGTCACAACTCTCTCTCTCTCTGTAGTAGTCCGCTGATACTTAGAAGAAGAGTAAGAAGAACTCTCTCTCTCTCTCTCTCTCTCTCTCTCTCTCTCT